TTGACTCGATGATCTGGTGAACTGTAAAGTGCCTTGAGATGATGTGTGTTATGAATTGCCGCTATATATATAAACTGAATTGAATTATAAAATTGTAACATTTTTTGTGTGTGTGAGAATATTGGATAAAAAATATAGAAGTTATAGGGCAAGTTATCGTTTTTGATCACTTGCATCTCCCTTACAAATAGAGGGAGAGAGGGTATGAAAAAAAGTTTTACTTCTTTATACCCCTTTTCAGACAATTTACATTAATCAATGTCACTTCTCTGGCTGTATGTACCAACAGGTTTATTTGGTGAAGGGTGTTGTTTCAATTTATGTTCAAGTCAATTTAGTTAGTTTGGAAATTGGTGTTGAGTTGATGCTAAGTAGTCTCTTTGCTGTGTATTTTGTTGATTTATTTATTGTTGTTTGTCAAATTGTCTGAAAAAAATTCCTAATAATTAATTAATTAATTTATTCATTAATTCATTCATTCAAGACAACTTTGACAGCTGAGTCTGTCAATCAATGTATCATGATATGTTTGAACCAAAAATGTACTTGTTTGACTTCTGAGTACGTTAAAATGCACAGCTATAAAACATCCAAAGGTTAAGTGAATGTCATGATCACACCAGGAGCCATGAATCAAAAAGTGATGGATCTTATACGTTAAAGGGACAGTGTCTAACAAGTTTGGCTTTTTTTGTTTTAGCAAAAATCAAGTATTTCTATAGTAAATACATATTCTGCATGTTCTGTCTGATAAAAAAATACATAGGAGGTGGTGCACGGGATGAAATATGCCACGTCACGTCGCCATCTTTGATTAAAATGGACAATAGGGGACAAATTTTTTAGCCTTGTGCGTTTTACATGTATATATAATTGGGCAGGGACTTAAACGCTTACATTTCGATTAATTCATAAAAAAAAAACACATAATGAATTGCATTTCCGTATATACGTACTAAAATCCCAAGCAGAAACTCTTGTTCTTACTGTTTCTCGTAAACCCATAGATATGATGCACAAGTGGCATCACAGAAGTTTGTTACCTGGAGCTTAAAGTCTATGGCTCGATCCGAATACCTCAAATCAGTATGGAAATCTAAGCTTTGGCGGAGATTCCTTCCCAGTCGCCATAATAAGCGTTATACTGTATATGTACCATGAGGAGGCTATGTAGGACCAGGTTATTTCCGTGAGTTACTGGCTTAACCAGAAAAAGTAGCCTTAGTGGTAAATGTTTTAATTGCACTTAATGCTGCACATTAAATAGCAGTTATTTTTGCTTGTCAATTATTTTGCCTTCTAAATGCAAAGTTTTATCCAGAGCTGTTTTGTCATATTTGAAATTAAACTCTTCAGACAATATTTTATCTCTTGTTGGTATATGTATATTTTTTGCACCATATTTAAGGGAAGGAAATGTGCTGTAATTAATGTTCATGTACTGTTCACTCTTCTATTGAAGTAGTTTTTCAACAAAAAAAAATAGAATATCAAGATTTTCTAATAAAATTGCTAAAATTTCATAACTCTCAACCAATCGGATAGTCGAATAACATAAATAGTTGGATTGAAAATAAAATATTTATCTGTTGTTGGCCTTATCTTATTATTTATTCTTTTATTGAGGGGGAAATGGTTTTTTGTTTCTTTTTTTAATACATGATTTTTGATTAAAATGTGTTTAATTTTGATTAATTAATTAAAGATACTGGAATTAACTTGTTTAAAAATTACATCCTAGTATAAATATTTGTTTTCAGCAAAAGAGCAGCATAAAACAGGCTGAGATGATGACTGTAAATCATTTTGCTTGCCTTTTTCTTATGAAATGGAGGAGCAGCCATATCCTCAGCAATAAAAAAAAAATAACTGAGAAATGAAAAAAACGTTTTTCCTAATGGTGGCGTGTAATTATCCTGGCTCACCACTAGATGAGAGTACTTTTCAGTCTTATGACATTAAAGTAAATAAACATTGCAATGTTAGGCTGGTTCAGTAGTAGCCATGTTTAATTTGTTTAAAATTAATTCTTGAGGTCTCTTTAGACTGGTTTTATTGCGATCCAGTGGTTTTCATAGGCGTTCTCATACAGAGAAGCTGATCTATCGTTCTAGTGCAGTGAAATGGAAGAAAGTCTGCATGAAGGTTCAGTCAACAGAACAGGAGGAATGCAGTGACTCATACGTAGCAACATGCACCAGGATTTTAAAAGAATGCTCTAACAGAAACCTAATCAAAGTAATCAATCATTTAAAGAAATAATAAATAAATATATATTTATGTGTGTGTGTGCATTTCTGGCTTCTGTTTCAGTCTGGTGTGTTGACATTCTCAGAACGTGTCCCTGTTTGCATCGTTTGCTGGTTCTCCATGGAAAACCAGGAGGAGCAGCCTACTCTGATCCAAAATAAGCAAACTAGTTTGACCCTTCGTCTTAAAAAGGTTCCATTACCGCTTTGCATCAATAAGAAACACATTCCTGCTTTTTTTATTGGTAAACACAGAGGAAACTGTTGCCACCGTGAGTATTTTACCTTGTATTTGATGCCGGACTTGAAGTAACCCAGAAAGGTGACTGACTCGTTGTCTTGGAACTCGTTGAATTGCACCGGAGCCCCACCGAGATGATCATCCAGCTGAGTGAGGAAAATGGCAGCCGCCCCGCTCTCATCTTGGGAGGCTTCCTTACCTGCAGCACATCAAAAGACACATTTCGATATCAGTCAAATGGTAGCGTTTTACCGTAGGACTGACAAGGAAAAAAAGGGAACCTAAGGTAAGGTTATTAATCAGTTATACCAATCCATGAGTGCACGTTGTAAGATGGAGCAGACGTGGTAGAGAGGATGATGTATGCATCCCCGGTGTAGAAATCTCCGTAGAGCTGAGGTGGAACAGGGCTCAGATCCATCTTTTCCACCCGCCATATCTGCAGTCCGGGCTTCTTCCCTGCCAGCTGGAACTCCTTATGCGCCATGGTGCTGAAGGCCTTAAACGAGACACGTCTTCACATGTAATCTCATCATCACTAATCTCAAACATTCTCTATTCCAGGGCGTTCACAGTTCTGTTGGAGATGGTAGATGAAGTTTGAACCCTTATTTGGGTTTTTATTCATTGTTTGGCTGAAACTTTTTTTTCCCACAGTTATTATCTAAAGCAGGTTTTTCCAAACGTGCCACTAATATGATCAAAGCCTCTTTTGTAAATGCAAAAGTTAAACCACATCATCATCAGCACATAACCCTGCTTTGTTCGTTTTCCAATAAACTGCTGCAGGCTTCCAAGAACATTTCGGTTCAAACCACACTTCCAAACCTGTCATTCTAGCACTTTGAGTAACTGAGCTGCTCTTATAGGGTGTGTCAAGTCATCTGTTTATTAACCTATACAGCAAAGTGTCTGCAGGGTGTTTTAAAAATGAAGAGCCGCTCCCCACAGGCATTTAGAAAGTGCATATGTCCAATTATTTAAGGCATCAATGTTATAATTATGCCCAAATGGAGAAGAGAAACAAGCAACCTTTCTGTACCCTACCACCCTGCAGACATTTCTGTGTATCCTCATGCAATCAACTCTATTTCATTGCAGTAAAAGTGTTTATTTTCTATAAAAGCTTTGTAGAAACTAAATGATAACATATTGACGATGAGTAAATAAGACATTTTTCTTACCTTAGTAATGAGAGAAGTTAGATTGTTGCTGTAGAGAAGCTGCACTGGTGCCCTTCCTATCTTCTGTAAAGTCTGTTTGAGCTGCCCTGGGCTATATAAGCAGAGGAAACATCCGCCCCCAGACAGAGGGGCGTGTTCAGCCCACATCCAGAAGGCCGCACTCCTCTCAACTGGCTGCAAAGATTCCCAAACACATACAAAGTACACAGCTCCCGATTCCTAGATTTACATAAGTTAGTTTTCAACCCTAGAGGGGAGATATTTGTGACTTTTAATTCACTGCAGTCTGTATTTGAAACTCATAAATCAGGAAGTGAAGATTAGATGAGATTTCACCAGAATTTAGATTTACCCTATCCCTGATCTTTTTACTGCCAGCACACATTTTATAAATGCTAACTCCAACAGGAAGAAAAATGTAACATCACAAAAAAAGTCCATAGTGTAAAAGTTATTTTTCAATTATAACTCAAATGAATTTAAAGAATCAAAAGGCTTATCTGGGCTCCTCAGAGTTGAAGAGTCTTAATCATCAAATAAAATCTGAAAATCATTTGGGTTACATGATAGTAAGCCTTTATCCTCTCTGGCTTCTGCAGCTGCCGAGCTGCTGGTTGGACCATTAAAACAACCGGTGTGTAGCCCAGTTCTCCTGATGAAAAAAACAACATCAACACATTTTATTTTTTCTGTTGGAATACATTAGATATTTATCTAAAATGTCCTGGCATGTAAATGCTTCTGTGATTCGCTGACATGTCCCCCTAATTCTGTGATGAAGAGACGGTTAACATTTTGTGACTTTAGACCAGAGAAGTCCCATTTCCCAAAGCATGGCTTCCCCTAACAGCCAGCTGGGATGCTGATAGCATCTAAAGTTGATTAGGAAGCTTTTTACTTTTCTCACCATCCTAATTGTAATGCAGGCCGCATTAGCTCATTATTCAGTCTCATTTTCCTTAATTTAAACTGTTTTACATGTTCTTATTAATAAATGGTAAGTGGCCTGTACTTATAGTTCAAGTTTCAAGTCAGGAGAATTGACCAAAGCACTTTACACTACATTCAGTCTGCTGGTGAAGATTCTCAGTCGTTCTGGTCATAGTCATTCCAAAAAAGGAAAACAAAATCCTGTTTCTGACATTTTGAATTGAAAAAAGCTTCCTGGATGGGAAGCAAAACATCTTCAAACTTGGAAACAAAGTCCAGTGGATTATTTTTTAAGTTTCTTGGAACTTCATTTAGTCATTCAGTCATTCACTCACACACTGATGGTGGTAAACTGCATTGTAGCCACAGCTGCTTTGTGGCTCACTAACAAAAGCGAGGCTGCCGTCTACTGCACTCGAAAAACAATTTAGAAATAAGTAGAATTTTCTAAAATTAAGTTTATTTACCCTTAATTTGAGTAGGTAAATGAGATAGTTTGCCAATGGAATGAGAATTTTTACTCTTAAAATAAGATAATTAGATAATATGCACTTGAAATAAAACAATGCAATTGTGTTTTCTTATTTTAAATGTAAATTGTCTTGTTCCATTGGCAAAATGTCTTTTTTACCTCCTCAATCCAAGAACAAATGCACTTAATTTAAGAAATAATGACTTATCTAGATTTCGATTTTTTCCAGTGTGGAGCAACCAGGCCCTCTGACCACCATCAGTAGACAATGCAGGTGAAGTGTTTTGCCCAAGGACACAACGACACTGACAGCCAGAGTCGCGTCTCGAACCGGCAACCCAAGGCAAACTTCTGTTTGAATTTGGGTGTAGATATGGGCAGGATTCTGGGATTTTTATTTCTACTCTGCTCAAATTAAAGATAAGATTTATGTTAAATTTTGTAACTTATTAACTTAATACAATAAAGGATTGATTCAATATATCTTACATATTTCCCATGAGTGGTTTTGCAGTGTTTGCTAAAGTGGTTTCCTCTCTCATAGCCACTCTTTTCGAGAAATTATTATTTTTCATTGGAGAAAAAACTTTATTAATGCAGCAGTTTGTATTTATATGTTGAACATGAAACCTGATATTATCAGATGAAAGGTGTTTTTTCTCAGCTACCAAGCAGCAGAAAACAGAACATAAAAAGCAACCTGCAGACTTTTCACTGATCCAATCCACCAGTTTGATCAGTTACAAGGTAAATTATGGCAAATCTGACATTTTTCAACCCAACTGTTTTTTGTTTTTTTTTGTCTTTATTTTGATTGTTTTTTTTTTTGGGAAGATAATACTGAACTGCAATAAAAGCTGCTGGTCTGAGGGGGATTTCCTTTAGAGCAAAACACATTTTGTTGTTCTGTACAAACACTCAACAATGCAGTCAATAGAATTCTGCTCAGCTGCTTCTGTGTTGCCTACCGTATATTTGAATCATGCAATCCAGAGATATAATATTGATAAAAGTATGTCTTAAAAGTATTTTTTTTTTCCAAATTAATGGAAAAAAAACCAAAAAGTTAGACTGGTCTAAGAGGCCATTTTAACACAAGTCTATGACAAGAATGACTCATAATTTCTCTGAAGGGGAAAATCCACTCCAAATATAGAATGTTGACTCATGTGTTTCCTGAGCCCATGCAGTGGATCTCTAATAGCCAGAAGAGCTGGCCGGCTCTTGGAAGTCATGATAAATACCCCTCTTTCCTGCTTCAACAGTTGATTTGGCAATTGCACATCTGTAGTTTTAGTGCGTGCTTTAGCGATCATGCGGCTTTGGCCTGCCAGCAGCCCAAGAATGCAGCTCCGCTGACGCCCATGAACCAGCTTGACAGAAAGCAAAAGGCACAAATCTCTCCTGTGAGCTCCGGCAGTCGCCTCAGGTCAGGCCTGGCTTCATCAACTCCCGCTGTAAGAGCTGCATCAGCACATTGTGCCTCATTGTGCAGAACGCACACACCTCTATCCCTGTCTCAGACATACCAGCTTGTAGCCACAAGAACAAACAGATACACAACTGCTAACACAACCGCTGTGCAAAATAAAGGCCACACACAGCCTGTTCTAACGTGCATGGGCAGAAAATCCTCCCTGCATTATGAGTTTCGTAACTCTGGGGTGCTATCCCAACCCCAACAGCCACAGTTTTCACACAAAGATGTAAACCGCCCATATTATCATTTTGCTAAAGCATATGGCACAGTGATATAACAGGGATTCCTTATGATTGCATATGAGACAAACAAAGAAGCATGGATCTAGGGGTCAGAATTGCCCTCAGGTGACTCTCAGTTGTAATTTCCTGCTGCAGCAGTTCACTTTATGTGAAAGATCATTTGCAGCTGCTGTTAGAACAGAACTGATCCTTTTATTCATTCAGAATGACAATTTCTGCTTTCTCAATGCGACAGTCTAGTGTGAGTCCTCTCTTAGCAGCGGGAATGCCACACATTGGTTTTAATCTAAACATCCAGGAGGAGTTAACCGACTGGAAAAGATAGAAGTAGCTTGGGGCTCGATCCGTTAAAACACCAGATGAGCTAAGCAGATTTTTTTTTCTTTTATTGGCACTAATAATTGTACTAAATATGGATTAAAAAACATCTTCCAAACTCCAGTAAAGCTTGAAAATAGGAAGTGAGAAGATGCTCTAAAAGAACAGATTTCCATCTGTAGTGCTTTAAATCTTCTCAGAGCCGTTTGCTGCAACATGTTTTTTATCGATTCATCATTTCAGACCTAGGGAGGCCTGTGTTGCTGGAATAACAAAACGATGGTACTATTTTCTGTTTTATTTTCAATCGTTTATCTTGTTTCATACATAATCTTGTTATTTTAATAATTTCCTCTTATTCTCTGGAATAATTTTGTGTTGCAATGTGCTATTCATTTTTTTCATACACAGAACTTTGCCTTTTGTCAATTGCCTTTCTCACAAAAATGTGCCGTATAAATAAACTTGTCTTAACTTGCCTAAAATTGATTTCTCTTGTCTACTTGTAGTTTAAAGCGAGTCTGATTGAGTCCATTAAATCTAATTATGGACATCTGTGATCAACCTCTTCAGAATATTGGTTAACAACAACAGTGTCTTCAGTCAGAGGCTTCTCCAGATCTGTTGCAAGGCAGACCACTACAGAAGATCCTTACTGCCAAGAGCGATCAACAAAGAACAGAATTCAACTTTATTGTCATTCCACTGTCACAGGTACCCCTTGGGGAGCAGTGCAATTGTGCGGAGTTAAGGGTATTGCTCAGGGACGGCAGTCTGTGGGAGTGGGGGATTGAACTCACAACCTGAGGATTCAAAGCCCTAACCACTAGACCGCCACCACCGAAAACCTAGGTATACAGTGTTGGGCATGTTACTTTGAAAAAGTAATTAGTTATAGTTACTAGTTACTTCTCCCAAAAAGTAAGTTAGTAACTGAGTTACTCTACAATAAAAGTAACTAGTTAGTAGTAAAAGTAACTATTGCGTTACTTTTGCGAGTGTATGAAATTAATAACTGGGGATGTCTAATTCTGAAATCCTGTGTTTGGGTTGTTATAGATACTGCAACATGTAGTTATATCTATCTATCCATATTTCTCTCTTTCTCCATATAGG